TGAAGAAGAGTAGCCATACTCCCAGCCATACCTGCAAAAGAAGAAACGAAGACAGGCCCCTTTCACAAAGCAAATTTTGACAAACCATCTTGGGTTCTGCGCACAAAACGGCAGACTCTTAATGGGTAGCACTCAACACATCAGCCTCCAGACTCATTAGGCCTCTTGGAAACCAACCTAATGTGTTGCAGATCATTTGAAAAAGAACATCACAGATGTACATATACTAAGAGTCACATACAAAAGGAATATAAGTTGCGTTTAACAGCTGTGAAACAATTTTTTTTAAAAAAAAAAATCTGAAGGTACCAAATGAAAACCTCCACAATAACTAATTTTCCATGAACTTACCAACAGCATAGCTGGGAAGAATGAAAGGTTTTGTTTCTAATTTTTTTTTTTTTAAAGAAAATGTTGCCCAGATTTACAGACACTAGAAATATACAACCAGGAGGTACGTTACGGCGGGCAGCCAATCAGAACTCCTTCAAAAGTTACCGTTAAATAAGAACGTTCATTGTGATAGAAAGGGAGAATATTAGCTGGCGTTATTTTTTTTCCCCTAACCTCACCAACTCCAGCATCCATGGAAGCAGCACTCAGCAAGTTATTCAAAGGGCACAAGTTAACTAAAAAAAACTTTGCTATATATAAAACCAGAAATATAACCATTTGAGTCACAACAAGTGACAAAATATTTCCTTTATGGTTGCAGAGAACATTCAGAATTGCTTTAATAACGACAGCAAAACCAGACTGGAAGTAAGATTCTCTAAGCTATTTACTGTAGATCAGTGTTTCTCAACCTTGACAATTTTAAGGCATGTGGACTTCAACTCCCAGAATTCCACAGCCAGCAATGCTGGCTGTGGAATTCTGGGAGTTGAAGTCCACATACCTTAAAATTGTCAAGGTTGAGAAACACTGCTGTAGATCAAGGGTGTCCAATCTTCTCTACTATAGGATCTGTGGACTTCAACTCCCATGCTGGGAGTTAAAGTCAACAAGTCTTGAAATTACCAAGGTTGGACATCTCTGCTGTAGATTAATGCACTGAGAAATAATTAACAAATGCTAACATAATCTTAATTAATGGAAAATATTTTAAGTGTGTATCTCAAGGATTCATAGGGCAATTGTTTCTTCTTCAAGGACAGGGAAGAGATATACTATATCCTTTTTTCCCCTCAATCTAACGAACACTCTATATATGAAAAAAACCTTAAATGATTATTGAAATAAAATGTCAACTACCCACGTAGTTGTAATTGCTTATGTCCTTCTTGCCAACCATTTTGGGAAGGAGCAAGTCCCCCTCAGAAATTATCTTGTGAGAGGACCGTCAACATTTTCTCGAAATTCCAAATGTGTTCGTCAGCCCTGCCAAACCTGAGACCTTCTAACACTTAGAGCTGAACGCTGAGTAAGCCTTCTAGGACTAGCTGGACTCTTTTTATTTCACAAAAGATGAAGGAAGTGGGATCCCAAAAGAAGAAGGAATAGGGTAGCAACTGCACAAAACCATTTTAGGTCAGGAGGAACTCTGGCGAGCCAGTATAAATAACTTGATTTTTTTTCCTTGGTACTATCTCAGGTTGAGATGATACTAAAAGCCAAATTCTAAGGCCCTTTTCCATGTGGCTTTCTTCCATTAGTATCACTCTAAATCAGTGGTTCTCAACCTTTTTAATGCCGCGACCCCCAACCGATCGTAAGTCGAGGACTAAACCGGTTGTAAGTCGAGGACTAAACCGGTTATAAGTCAAGGACTAAACCGGTTGTAAGTCGAGGACTAAACCGGTCATAAGTCGAGGACTAAACCGGTCGTAAGTCGAGGACTACCCAACCAGTCGTAAGTCGAGGACTTTCCCTGCCCGGGAGCGCCACGCATGCGTGGTTCCGCCCCCTGCGCCGGCCGAGGCTTAGCTGGCAAGCGGCAGAGACGGAGCAGGCCGACCACCAGCTGGCCCAGCTCAAGGGAGGTAAGGCACCCGCCGGAAAAGGGGGAAAAAAATGGCGGACAGCCTTGCTTGGCGACCCCCGTGAAATGGTCGATCGACCCCAAATGGGGTCCCGACCCATAGGTTGAGAACCGCTGCTCTAAATCAAAAACCGCATTTCAACATTGAAAAGCAAGGAATGCTTCAACGTTGTACTGATAGAATCTGACTGCAGACATCGGCAGAAAAAAAAATGCAAGACCAAACCTCACAATAGGATAAACATTACCTAAGTCTAGCCATTGTGGATAAATTGTGAACAGATCTCCCAACTCCCCCCTTACAACAGAGAAGGGGAAACACTTTCTCCCATCAGGAAAGTCAGATTTTAGAGTTTTTGATCTCCAGAGTTTGCAAAGCGCTTGGCAATGCCAGCCCGAGAGAGCTGAGAGAGAATTGAGGGTAGATTTGAGTGTTTTCTCCCCCCACTTCTATAGAAGCGTGTTAAGCCTTAACCCTCCTATTTTACTGCTTACTTTTGAAGGAAAGGGAGAACAAGCTTGCTATCATAATTTGGTGAGACAATCAAAGCAGGATTAATTGCAACCGGGGCAATTAATGCAGCCCATTGGGTAAGCCACACTTTACGTCAACCCTTGTAGGGAATTAAAAGGGCCAAGCTGGAATGCAAATCTAATTTTCATCATCAGCTTTGAAGGTTTGCATTACAGATCTAGTTTTAGATGGGCCACATGGTCCAAATATGCCAATGTTTCTTAGAAATTGCCACCATTTAGCAACAGGAATAGCATTCAGGCTTACACACCGTTCTGTAATGCTTTACAGCAATTTACGGTGTTAGCATGTTGCCCCCAACAATCCGGGTCTTTATTTTATTGACCACGGGAAGGATGGACGGTTACGTTAACCTTGAGCCTGTCAAAATCGAACTGTGGGCAGTGTTAGCCTGCAATACTGCATTCTAACCACTATGCCATCACGGCTCAATTATCTCTTTAACTACATATTGAAGGGGGTTACAAATCTGTATCTCTGTATATCAAGACAGGGGCACCATTTTCGATCTCAATGTCTACCAAGAATTTAGAGGCATACATTTAAATATTAGCAACATACAGGTTCTTTCTTTCAGCGCCAAGAAGTTCTAAATAAAACAAACAAAAAAATCAGTGAAAAGCTATCCATGTTCACTGGAGAATAATAGAAATGCAATTAGATGCAAATTTGTGAACTGCTGATTAAGAGACTATAGAATTTGTTCGGGCACATAGTTTGCTATCAAGCACATAAGCATTCAATGTAGATCCTAAAAAATAGAAATTCCAGTTAAAGAACCAGTATGCCTCTGAGTGTCATATGCTGGAGAGAAAGATCGGTAAATTTTTAGAGACAGCTGGCTGATTTTTATGGGAAATAAAAATGTCGGACTAGAGGTGGCGGTTGGAGCGATCCAGCCGGCTTGTAACTTTACATTCTGTACCGCACAGCCAAATTTGGTAAGTTTTAGCGGTGATAAAATAGACTTTCTGGAGAGAAGCCAAACCCAAAATCTAAGAACCAAATTTTCCTAGAAAGCTGCCCAGGTTAGACTGAAAGCTGTTTCAGACAACTCTTTCCCAGAGAGAGCCCCATCAGAGGTATTTAGGATCAAAACACTTTAACATCTAACTTTTAGAGGAACTGGAGCACTACGTATCTTCGGGATTCTTCATACATGCGTGCCTCTAAAAAGGAGCAGGTGCCTGTAGAAAATAGACAAGAGGTTGAAGGTAGCAAGAACGCCTAGGTGGCCAAACAGGGAAGTCTTTCCAAGCGTCTTGTTTTTGTCTCTCCAGAAGCAGAAATTGCATGCTGAAGATGTCAGACCACATGAAAAAGTACGCAAGTTGAGTCAAAGCACCAAGATGGCACACCCATTGGGTTATGTCAATATACCGTTGGCCAGGTGGCTGTTGCCTCCATGTTGGATAATGTCACTTAAAGTGCGTTTCATTTTTTCGTAGCAGGCAAAATACAACGCGTGAGCCGGGCCGGCTCCGAGGACGGTGACGTTAATTCCTCGCAGCGGCCGCCAGATGCCTTCCGTGCGGACAATCTTCCTCAAGGCCTCAAAGACGCTTCGGTACTGGGCTTTGGGGTCAGGTTGCAAACTCTGCATCCGAGTCTACAAGAAGAAAAAAAAAAGAGGGATGATGTAAAGGAGAAGAGTGAGGCTCTAGGGCTGCTTGGGGGGGGAGGGAGAGACACAACTTTGGGGGGAGGGGCATATCTAGACTTGGAACAGCCTCAATTCACAACAATTCATTCAGGGACCTAGACAAGACACCCAGTTTGTGTCTGGGTGTCTTATCCTTGGGGTGGACACGCTTCTGCCTTAGTGTATTCTTGGGTTTAAAGCAGGGGTCTTCAAACTTGGCCCTTTTATGACTTGTGGACTTCAACTCCCAGAATTCCTCAGCCAGGCACGCGTGCCTGGCTGAGGAATTCTGGAAGTTGAAGTCCACAAGTCATAAAAGGGCCAAGTTTGAAGATCCCTGCTTTAAAGTGTACATGTACGCTGTGTTGGTTGAAAACCCTCCTGAGTTTTTCAGATATTCCTGCAACGTATGGAAGGACAATGTTGCTACATTCGTCGTTCTCTTCTTCGTCTGTAATGGAGGAGCTCTTGCTGGGAATTTTTCTGGATTTGATGAAGGCCCATTTAGGATAACCACAAGTGCAAGAGGTATCCACAGACATCTAAAACGATTGGGGAAATAATCAAATCCAAAAGAGGGAGGGAGAGTGCCTCCTCTACCTTCTGTCTGGCTTCTTCCTTGAGTGAGGAGCGTCAACAGGAAGCAAGCAATATTCTTCAAAAGGCCAGAATTAGCCCTGAAGTGTGTTGTTGCTAACTTGCACAGTTGGTAACGTACAGGTAGTCCTCAGCTTACAACTTTTGGTTTAGCAATTGTTCGAAGTTACCACAGCCCTGAAAAAACGACGACTAAGGACCATTTTTCACGCTTACGACCGTTGCAGCATCTTCATGGTCACATGATCAAAATTCAGATGCTTGGCAACGGACTCGTACTTATGACGGTTGCGGTGTCCGGGGGAGGGGCATGACGTGATCCCCTTTTGCGACCTTATGACAAGCAAAGTCAACGGGGAGGGCAGATTCATTTAATAACCGCGTCCCTAACACAACACCTGCAGCGATTCACTTAGCAGCAGTGGCAGTAAAAGTCGTAACATGGGGCAAATCTCACTTAACCAATGTCTCACTTTGGGTTCAGTTGCGGTCGTAAGACGAGGACTACCTATACCGGCATAGAAAAAGTCGATTAGGGCAAAGGAAAAAATGTGGATCCAGACAAAACTAAATGTTATTTAATCAAATTTGCAGTTAAGCACAATATATATATATTTTTTTAAAAAATCATGAATTAAATATAGGGAATGTGATTATTTCCCACAATGCAATGGGGGGAGGTGAAATGCCTCTAAAAAGCCAAGCATTTAAGCACATACTTTTGGAAGATACCAGAAGAGGGCGCTACAAGCCTGCCCAGCATGGCAAGGCCCTCTCCAGCGAAGTGGTTGCAAGGCCTTTTGCAGTCAATATGTGCCAACTTCACTGGAAATGCCAAAGGAACATTATACATGCTTTAGGCACAGATCTCAGCAACGGATACCCATCTTCAACTAATATATAGTGGCCAGAAGTTGTAATGTTTCTAATGCAAACTTCTAACATGAGAAGCTCTGTTAGATAGCCACTGGTGACTGGACTGGACTGGACTGGGACTGGGACTGGGACTAGACTAGACTAGACTAGACTAGACTAGACTAGAAATATAGAAAACGAATGGAATGAGAATAGAATAGAATATAAACAAAGAATAGAGTAGAGTAGAGTAGAGTAGAGTAGAGTAGAGTAGAGCAGAGCAGAGCAGAGCAGAGCAGAGCAGAGTAGAGTAGAGTAGGGTAGGGTAGGGTAGAGTAGGGTGGGATAGGGTAGGGTGGGGTGGGGTGGGGTGGGGTGGGTAGGGTAGAGTAGAGTAGAATAATCTTTATTGTCATTGTGTAACTCACAATCCACAGTGCACATTACACACAAGTAAAAACCACAAATAAAAACATACACTATATACACACTTCCTTCACATTCTATTCACCATTGCGCTGCCCCTAATATTGCGCTTCAATGTTGCACTATACTGTGGTATTTAATATGGTTACAGCTCTGGGATTAAAAACTATTTTTCAGCCTATTTGTCTTTGTTTTTATTGTCCTGTACCGTCCGCCAGATGGCCATCGTTTAAAAAAAGAATGTAAGTTAGTAGTTAAGCAGTTAATGATTTAGAACACAGAAAATTGAATAATAGGGTTGGGAAGGGACCTTAAAGATGTTTTAATCCAATCCTCTGCTCAAGCAGGGGACCCTACACCAGTACACCATTCCAGACAAAGGACTGCCCAGTCCCTTCTTGACAACCTCCAGTGATGGAGCACCCACAACTTCTGGAAACAAGCCATTCCACTGATAATAGATTTAAAACAGTCCTTTCTCCGCCTCTTGCTGATTCCAAAGGAGTGCAGGATGACACAGGACGAATGACTGGCATGATTTAAATCCAAGCTGAATGACTGCAAAACTCCAGGTGTCTGACTGGACATGTCCCAACAGCCTAACATCAACCTGACTAATGCAGGATGATTGTAATTCTGTGAAAAAGGCACTGCTTCTCTGCTCGTTACACAGGTCTGAAAATGTACAGCTCTGAATGTCTTCTCTTCCGCAGGCGTTAACAGAAGAATCCAACCTAACTCTTGGGCCATATACCATAACCAAGACATCCCATTTTCCTGGGTATCACAGTTCTTAGGTAAAACACAAGAAAGAAACAGATGTCTACGGAGATTCTTAAACATCCAGGTCATGGTTGTCCCAAAGGGGCTTTCTTCACACTGAAGAAAGCTTCTTGGATGAGAAGCGAAACGTTTTCAAGGAAAAAAATAAGAAAGTCCCGTTGCCTCTTGAAAAAGCACCTTTGGGAGAAAGACCTAGCTTCTTAGCTAGTTCCAAGTTTCTGACTTCTACTCTTACCTTCGTCTTGGATGGCTGTTTAATAATCATGTTAGTTATTTAGCAACTCAGCAGGCTTGGCCTGCTGAACTTGTAAAATTCAAGGGAAGTCTAGCAGGTCTACTCAGCCCGGTGGAATTCCTTCAGCTTCTCTGTGGATGGAGCGGTTGTCAGTTCATGCACGCTCAGAGCAGTTCTCCTCAAGAAAAGAAGAATTATTCCTCTGATCTCATAATACTTTGCTGAGAGAAACAGCAAGGCCTAAGTTCCCAGGCTTCTCACTTACCCAAGTCTAGCAAATCCCACTTCAACATAACCATTTATTTGAAAAGCCTAAACAACATGCAAATCTAATCCCCAAAATCATTTTGTCAGCTCTAAATCCTCAGAAAATGCAGCGGAGGAATTATAGCGAATAAATACCAATTTGCCAGCTGCCAAAATTCTTGACTTTGGCAAATCCCATTTAAAATAAGCTTGTGCCTGTGTGTTTGGGTAGACACAGGCCTACAATTGAGTGGAAGATAATGACAGTTTTACATCATTAGTGTAAAGCAAATTAAAGGACCGCGTCAAGGGCAGTATACAGTCTGGTTTTTATACATTGTCTATATAATTTATTCTAAGAAAAGATGAGCCACCCCATAAATATCTCAACAGACACACTTAAAAGTAAACCCTTACTTCCTTAATTTCTGGTCCTAAGGATTTGGGGACAAGCTGAAACATATATGCACGCCCAGCAGGAGCTTCCTAATCATATGAAGGAGGTCATGACTTGGTATTACTGGATGGCAGAGATGGGTTAGTAAAGCTAAAGAAAGAGGAACTGAAGATGTTTGCTGTTTAAACTACGGAAGTATGTCATTAATGTAATGTCTCATATATAATCCAAGTATGCCTCCTATTCTCCTTGCACAGCCTAACCAATTGTCCTAACTGATCAAAATCATGTCTGAGCTAGAATCTCAACCCAAGAACTTTCAAATGGTGGCTTTCAAGATCCAACTGATAAGCTATCTATCTCCGTTTAACTTCTACATGCAAACAGGGATAACCTTTGAGTGGAGTGGGAGAGGAGAGGAGGAGGAGGAGGAGGAGGAGGAGGAGGAGGAGGAGACTACATTACAGCAAGGTCAACCTCATCAGTAGTTGCCACCCAAAGCTCACCAAATGTATTTTTTTTTACTTGATCTCAAAATTCAAAGCAAGCATGGCTTTAAGCAAAGTGGAAAATTATGGCAGTGATCAATCAACAGATTGAAAGACCTCAGGATATATGAGTCCCCCACCCTCTTTGCTCTTTTTCTTTTAAATCTCCCTTCTCATCCTTTCTTATGAATAACTTTGTTCCCGATTGAAATATATGCCTTGCAATAAAAGAAAAGAAGATGCTGGAGAAGCGTATTCTTGGTAGTAGTATTGTGTGTGCGTAGGTCCACAACAGGAAGGAAGGAAGGAAGGAAGGAAGGAAGGAAGGAAGGAAGGAAGGAAGGAAGGAAGGAAGGGTGTTATGAGTTCTTGATCTTAGTTGAACTTTAAATCTCTCTTCAGTCACAGTAATTTTCCTAACAGTGTAAACAAACCAAAGAACTTATTTTACGTAAATGTCCCTGTGACTAAATAGGGCGTGGTGCTCAAATATTTCAGAAAAACACCCCTGATATATCTTTTTTTTCCCCTTTTCATCCTTGCAACAAGCTGCCCCTGGAAATGAAGCTGCCTTTGTGTGGCGTTGTTAGCTAATGAATTGGTTTGGAGAAAACAGAACAAAGAATGTAGGCCTTAAGCCCCAGTAATCCGCTTCTCAAATCGAGGGTGGGACAGGAAAACCCAATCATCTCACATAACATCCTGGGTTGTTGCTGTCTATTCTGCATCTGTCCAGTGATGATAAGTTCTACAGCCAAGAAGTTATCTACAACCCCTCTACCAACTTTTTAAAACTCTGCACATATTAGCAATGCAGTATCTGGTCCTCTAGTATCTCTGTGTGTCTATGTTTCTGTTTTAAAGCCTTACCGATAAGCTTTTTTGCATAAAAAGGGGTGAAACGGACAGTAGCTCTCTTCTGCGAAGCCTAAATAGGTCA